CTCTCTCTCTCTCTCTCTCTCTCTCTCTCTCTCTCTCTCTCTCTCTCTCTCTCTCTGAATCTCCTTCTTTTCGCGGCCGATTGATGATCCATGTGTCGCTTGAAGTGTGGCCTCCATTTTATGCAGCAGCCGCTGTGTCTGAGCTCGCCGATCAATGGGGGCAGGAATCGTCGCAGATGGTGTGCCCTGCGGCCACTGCCCATGTGGCCCGAGTCATGTCCTCCGTCTCACTCGTCGCCCTCCTCCATCATCTCCGCCCGCCGCCCATGCTTTAGACACGTAATCGGAGTCCCCCGCATCATCAGTGCCTGTGGTCTCTCCGGGGGCTACATCCGTGCTGTCGTTGTGAACGATGAGCACACTTCCGCATCTCTTCTCACCTGCCACTGCATCCCCTGCACCCTCCCTGCCGTTGCCGTCCGCCGTCGTTGCAGCCAGTGCCGTACCCCCGTTCACCGTTCACGGGGTCTGTAAACGGAGACCGGTCAATGACATGGAGTTCACGGAGTTCACGACACGGGAATTCATGGAGTTCACGGAGAGCGGTATTTTTTATTTTTATTTTTGGCTGGGGGGGTGTGTTTTTTTTTTTGATAAGAGGGTGGGGGACATCGAAGGGTAACTCCCTATAATTTTTTCAAAATTTGTTTTTCATGAATAATATTTTTTTTAATTAAAAACGAAAAAAAAAAAATCAACCAGCCAAAAAAGGCATTTTCGTTTGCTATTTTGTAGGTCAGTTAGATTTTTTTTTTTTTTTCAATGTCACCACGCTGTGGGGCTTGAGGCGAAAGCACCTGGCGGAACCCAAGAAAAAAAAAAACAAAAAAAAAAACACCACTCTTTAGTGGTCGTCCCTTTCACCGAGAACGACTGTTCACAAAAAAAACACCAAATAAACGGTCGGTCACGTTCACGGGATCGGTACTGGTTGCAGCCCTCCCTCCAACATCCAATGCATCGCCGTCGGGTGCAATCTCTTCGTCCTCGAGATGTACAGGGCCGGATCGCGTAAGATGGGAACACATACGCGGCGACGAACGTAACGCCTTCCTTGTCGAAGCCTTCTTCCTCGCTCGAGAAAGACACGCCTTCGCGGCCCTTGTAGCCTGCACATCAGATGTCTTCGTCGGCAAAGCATTCCCGTGTCGGGCCTCGTACTTTGTCATCGCGGTGTGGCGAGCACCATCGACAGTCTCAATGGATCGTGTCCCCATAAACAGTGTTGATGGCTTGCCCTGCTCGTCCAACCCCCCAATGGTTGTCCCGCTGGTATAGAATGCCACTGTCGGCAAAACAGTAGCTCTGTCGCGCCGCGTTGTCGCCAATGAACCCACCACAGGCTGTTGTGTCGCGTCGACGGTGTCCGTGGCGCGGACGCCCCCAACTGCGCCGGCAGTCGCGCTGATGTGCTGATGCTCTGAGTCTGACGGCGGACGTGAAGGTCTTGCTGCTCTTTCGACTCCGGCGAGTGCAACAAAGCCACCATCCTTCGCGCCATCGAACGAATCGGATGAACTACGTTGTGCGATGCTGCGGAGACCGTCGCTGAGGTGTCGTGTCGCCATCTCGGCCATACCGAGGTCTACCTCGTGAGGTCTGCCAACACGAAAAACTGTGGGCGTGGCAGACACTGTTGGGCACACCGTGATCGTATCTCCTCCAAACTCATCAAACGCGTCTGGTCCTCGCTCTATGGTGACATGCTCATTTGGGTTGGGCGATGACACGTGGGGTAGACCAGGAGATATAAAAGTCGACAAGTCCGGGAGTGAGACGAGCGCCTAGTCTATGGCCGATAACTCTCCGGTACCCGGAAGACTGCCGGTGGGGCATGCGAGACCGACATGGCCCCCGACGCTCTTCTTAGGTGCTGGAGTGTGTGAGACCTCCCCTTCCGGGAGATCGGCGTTTGGACACGCAACATCAGTCCCCTCCACCAATGCAGGTGGTGGCCGCGATACGGTGTTGTATGCATGGGGTCCATGTGTGTCCGATTGCGGCATAGCAACCACCTCCCTGCGTACGTCAGGCTGAACTCCATGACCGCTGCGAGGTGGGAGCATACTCTCCTGCTCCGCCATTGCTGGTGGTCGTCGCACGTCTGAAGTCACTACAGCTGAGAATGATGGTCCGTCCTGTTGTGATTCCGAGATTGCTGCGGAGGACCCTGTCGGAGTTGTCGCATGCATAGTCTGAGTATCATTTCGCGCATGATCGCTCCCATCATCCTGCTCGATCCGCTCCTCGTCGCCATCATCACTGAAAGAGTCCTCATAAATAGGAATCTGCTAAATTCCAGGGACTCGTGGTCGTGGAACACCTGCAACCCCACCGTGACGTTTGCGCACATGTGAAGCACTAGTGTGTCGTTCCCTTGGTCCACGTTTCAAGCGCTTTAGGGCACCGCCCTGAATAGGTCTTGGACCGTTATCATCCGCTCCATCTCCAACATCATCCGAGACTGTGCGGTCCTCGCCTCCTGCCCCGTCGCCGCACATGGTGTCACCATCTCCAGGTCTCGATCCCCCTGCACCACTTTGTGCATCAGCATCAACCTCATCGCGATAATGTCCCACTGTCTCGTCAGACCCTCTATCAACGTCTTCGCGTGTTAAGCAGGGCCGATCTCCTCCATCACCGCGATCATCGCCTCTGGCGCCATCATCGTCGTCTACGTCCGGGTGGCGATTGTCGATATCGCTGTCGTCGTCCTGTGCAGGCGCGCCGGTCCCGAAGAAATCCTCATCGTCACTGGACGAGCTCTCGTACAAGAAGTCTCCCTCGTCCCATCGCTGTCGAGGCTTGCGCACAAGCTCGTCCGCCGCCATTCGACGACCCGCGATAGTCCTCCTCCCGCCAGGACCTCCACGCGCGCCTCGCCCACGACCTCCCTGACGACCACCTCTGCGACCACCGCCAGAACGCCTCCTGTCAGACTCCCGCAATCGACGAGTTGCTCCCATGTGGGACACGGCGCGCATCCTCTCTCTCGCCTGCATCAACTCCTCCTGCGTCACCGTCGCACGGGCTCCTCGGCCTGAGACAAGCTGCTGGTCGGTGGGCACCCCGTCCTCCACCTGCTGCCAATAGTGCACCAAGCTCCCATATGGATGTGGACTGTCATTGGGATCATCATCCGACATAGCCTACCTGTCAAGAAGTCGAAGGTTCCAATGGCATCGCACGAGTTTCTCGGTCCGTGTCACCTCCAACCTGTTACGAGATTTGGAGTGGATGAAGCTCCAACGCGACCAGGCTCTCTCGCAAGGCAATGCAGTCGCCCATACGCGTAGTATCCTGTCGTGCATCGAATGGCGGCTGATGGAGCCCAGAACCTCTTCTCCTTCGACTCCCTAAAACTGGCTGGATGGTCCCCTACACCACCCGATCCATGACCACGTCGTCGAATGGCGGCTCCCTATCATGAAACTTGTCAACGAGAGTCAAGACCTCGTTGTGTTGGGCCGAGCCCTCCGGGTACCTGAATTGAACCAGAGCAACTTTCAAACCGTGCTGCATCTCATCGTTGTCTGGCATCGTGCGCTCTCAAAACTCGGGATCCAACATCATGGCAACAACATGAGTCGGCGACTTGAACATGGTGCGGCGTCTGTCAAAGACTTAGAGCACTGCGTCCTGCTCGTCCTTGTTAAAAGCAGCACATACAGACAAACAGCGCACGATCATCTCGTAGTACCGACGCAAAATGTTGCCAATCTGCCTCGTGTCGCTGTCCATCACGGTTATGAGGATAAATAAAATTAACAACATTTTTCTATGCATTACAACCAAATTCCTTACCAAATTTAAAATAAAAATTAAGAACAGAAAATAAAACCAATAAGAAGAAAAAAAAATGAAATGAGGATTGAAATTAGCGAGTGAGTCGGAACGTTTTCGACACTTCTATACCTGATGCTTTTTCTTTTTTATTTGGCACAGCCAAACTCCCTGAAAATTTAGAGATGTGTACTTCACATAATACAAAACTAACTTAAGAAAATTCAAAATATAATAAAATTGTTTAGGTCCCTCAATAAAGTAAAAACAAAAAGTAAAAAGTGGAAAAAAAAACAAAACAGTCACGTTTTGACACTGCCATCTTTGACGATTTTTAACTTTTGTTTGGCTAAGCAAAATGACTTCAAAATTTATAGTCATGTACCTCACGTAATAGAAGACTCGTTAGATAAAATTTTAAAAAACAAACTTATCTTTAATCCCCAAAATAATTTTTGGCGGCAGCCGAACGCCTTCGGGTTAAAACCCCGAACGGTACCCCAAACGACTGTATGTACGGAGGTGGGCCCAAGGTAACTGGCGTTTGGGATGGGCCGAACGCTTGAACCCGAACACCCGAACGTATGGGACCACTTGGGGATGCGTTCGACCGTTCCCGCCGAACGCAAACCAAAAAAAGAAAAAAAGAAAAAAAGACAACAAAACAAAATACGTTATGAAGAAAAATAAATTAAATAAGAGTTTTCCAAGCATTAAATCAAAATTCCTTACCAAATTTGAAGGAAAAAAAAATACGAAAAAAAATATTAAAAAAAAAAAAAAAACATTAGTGAGTGCGCGATCACGTTTTCAACACCGCCATCTTTTGCGATTTTACAGATGTATGCTTGACATAATGCAAAACCCACTAAAAAAGTTGCAAAAAATAATAAAATTGTTTAGACCCCGAACTAAATTGAAAACAAAAAATAAAAAGTGAAAAAAAACTTGGGCGAGCACGTTTCGACACCGCCATTTTTGACAATTTTTAATTCTTATTTGGTTTCGCCAAATGACTTGAAAATTTACAGGCTTGTACCTCACAGCATAAAGAAATCGCAAAAGAAAGTTCAAAAAAAGAAAGTTATTTGTAGGCCCTGAAATAATATGTGGCGGAGGCCCAACGCCGTCGGGTTCGAACCTCGTATGGGACCCCGAACCCCCGTACGTACGGAGGTCTGCCCGAGGACCTCCATATGAACGGCCTGGTGATACAAACGGTTAACGGGTAGCTGAAAATTCAGGAATGAAAATTCTAAAGTGAGAGTTTTTGGCAGTCTGAAAATCTCGAATGGCAGTGAAGTGGTGAAAGGTCCGAAGACCCTGAAAACCACCCGTTTAAGCAGGCTGCATCCTAAAGTGGTGAAGTGAGAGTTTTGGGCAGTCTGAAAATCATGAATGGTCCTGAAGTGGTGAAAGGTCCGAAGACCCTGAAAACCACCTGTTAAGGCAGGCTAGATCCTGAAGTGGTGAAGGGTGTCTTGAACTGGTGATGAAAAATACGACTGTTACTAACCTTCTTTCGCTGGTGACCCTGTATATAATGAAAGGTAATGGTGGTTTAAACCGCCAGTTTCTGGCCCATACACCGGCCATGGCCGCTTGTCGTTAATACCCCATAACTTTCAGGCGTCGGGGCCACCGGATCACATCAGCTGGTGGCGCTTACCAAAAGGGAAAAAAAGGGTAAAGTTATAAAACCTCCCCGGGGCGAAACCTTTGCATTCATTTCACCCCAAATGGGGTGAAATGTGTTGCAGGCCCCAAAATGACTTTGCCTGTCATGTTTGCACCTTGGCTGGACCGGTAACGGCCGCTGTGCAAAAATGGCGGGAAAGTGTTTAACAGGGTGCAAAATGATGCCAAAGGTCATTTTGGGGTGTGTGGGACTTTTTGCTCCATTTTGGGGGAAATAAATACAAAGGTTTTGTCGCGGTAGGGTTTAGAACTTTTCCTTAAAAAATTCTTGCGCGGGCAGTTCAGTAGAAAACAGGCCGCAGGGCATTTGTAGGCTCATCATCAATAGCTGGGCAAGATACTGGTGGCTTAAGGATAATTCTTGGGCCCACACTGACGCAACCGAATACATACCCATGCGGCACACGGATTCAACCACTGCGTTAGCGCCGAAAAGCGTGGTAGCCCAATCACCTGTCAAATCTGACAGGGAGGCCTTTCAGGCCTCATTTTACTATCTTTATAATATCATGTGGAACCCCGTAGGAGCCAGCCTGAGTTCAAGCCTCCAAGGAGGGAGCTGCACCCTACCTGCAGGTGCCCCTACCTGCAAATGACGGATACCAGCCACGGGTTAGCCGGTAGCATCATAACGAAGCTTTCAGTGGGCCAGTCGATTTGTCTTCCCTCAGGATCCCCTCCCCGTACGAGCATCAGCAGTCTCTGGTCAAATGCCGCTCTTGGGGACTAATGGCTTATCTCTAGGGGCCTCTCCACACTACTCCCGACTTGGCCATTTTCTGGAGTGCTGCGTCGCCACCAGCTCCCGAGTTCAACCTGTCAGATTGAATTCGGGAGAATGTGCCTCCTGAGAGCACTCCCGAAATCGCTTGAGCCTACCACCTGTAACAGGCCATTTTCAGGAGACCTCTCGCAGGTGTTTCGACCAGAGAACTCATGCGCAGACAAGCATTCTCCTCACAGTTTTTGTCCCCACATGCTGGACAGTGCTGGGCAGTCTCTGTCTGAAGTGCAACTCCTGGCCTCGAAATCGGAGAGCGCCCCAAGTCTAGAGTGCAATGTGGAGAAGCGCACTCCCGAATGGATTTTCGAGTCTTCTGATGTTCGGGAGTACTCCCGAATGTGTTCTCCAAGTCAGGAGTAGTGTGGCGAGGCCATAGGTGGGCCCAGGAAGTTACATAAGTTCAATAAGGATTGAACCCCAGACCTCCTGAGTGCCACCTGCCTGCCTTACCAGCTGAGCTACGCCGCTGGATACAGAGAAGATCACGATGGCCCCTGCGGAAGGATGACTGGCGAAAGAAAGGCTGCGCATGGTGTGCCAAATCCTGGGCGCTAGGTAACTCCTTTGCGTGTGCTTCACAGGAAGGCAAACTGCAGACTGCGGCCTGGCTGTACCAAGGAAACATGACTCACTATCATCCACTCCCCTCAGGCCGGATTTAGGCCTCCAGAGTGGATGGTTGGATACAAATACAGCCACTGCAAATCCTTGATGATGGGATCAAACATCCATCGCTCAAAGGGGCTCCCCACACAGGCTTTCGAACGAAGGTGTTTTCCAAAACGTGTCAGACTTTTTTCGAAAGTCTGCTCGTGGAAACGAACCCCCCCCCCTCGTCGCACTGACTTTTGAAACACCGAGGCCTTTCCATATGCACAATAGGGCCCGGCTCCATTGCTCTCTACGCGTGTAAGACAAGAGAGTGAATCTTTGCCTAGAACATGGAAAGATACACCACCATAGTTTTTGTCTTTTTTTTCTGCATGTCGAAGAGTAGTGGAGCCAGGCCCTTGGAATCACCTTTTTTTTTTTTTTTTTTTTTTTTGCCAATCGACCGTTTCAAGTGGGCCTTTTCACAAGACCACTCGAGGTCTTTCGAGGAAACGCTAGTGACAGGCGGAAGGATCTCATCTCTTCGAAACGACTTTCCACGCCGGCCAATCTGACACCTTTCAAAACTTTTTCGAAAGAACTTGTTTCGAAAGGCTGTGTGGCGAAGATACGGCATCTATTTTGTGGATTTCGAAAGCCCGTGTGGCGAGCCCCAAACTCTCATATAGCTGGACAGATTTGGGGCACTGGGCCCGATCGCTTCTTCTTATGTCAAGACTGTTGTCTACGCTGAGGATAGGTCATAGGATTTATGCTCCATCAAACTCCAATCTCCTTCTGACTGTTGATATCCGATTATCTCAAGGATTCTCCTGAGCATTGTGCTTCAAGTTTACAGTCGGAAAATATGTACTACCCAAATGCTCAATTGCTCATGGTACATAACGAAGATCAGTGGCCAGAAATCAAGAATCAGCTCAAGTGGGACTTGGCCCCCGGTTTCCATCACAAGCCTGAGCCGGAGTATGGCCACAGTAGTAGAGTTTTTCCTTACCTGTTGCTCCTTTTTGAGTCCATCTTCTGTTTTTTTCTGAAGGTTGGAGACATGGGACGCTGGACCCGGTTTCCAGCAAGATCCTGAGGGCCAGATCCCACTAGCCGCTAGTGTTCATTTCTGACCGTTGATCTTCGTAATCGAGGGTGAAAAATGAATAATCCAGGGTAATGGGATCTGACCCTAAGCTGGGTAATGGCCCCAGCGATATCCGGGTTGAGATGCTGAGGGTTTCCCGGACTCACTGCTATTTGACCATTTCTCTATTTATGCGTGTCATCCTTGCGCAGGGGCCATGCTAATCTTCTTTCTCTGTATAGGTCCAATTTTAACGGATGTCCCGAAGGACTCACTGCTATTCTTCTTCTTCTTCTTCTTCTTCTTCTTCTTTTTTTTTTTTTTTTTTTTTTTNTTTTTTTTTTTTGTTTTCTTTTTTTTTCGAAAGGCTAATTCTTTGAAGCCCAACCAATTCAATTACCTGTCAAATCTGGACAGGACGGCCTTTCAGGCCTTTTTTATTGTCATTATAGTATTACGGGGAACACGGTAGCAGCCACGTCCGTGCTCAAGCCTCCAACGAGGGAACAGCACCCACCAGCAGGTGCGATACCTGCTACAGCAGGTGGGTGATACCCGCCAGGGGTCAGCCGGTAGCATCAGGACCGAGCTTCTTCTATGGGCCAAGTCACTGTGCCTCCCCTCCTTTTTTTTTTTTGAAAGGCTAATTCTTTGAAGCCCAACCAATTCAATGACCTGTCAAATCTGGACAGGACGGCCTTTCAGGCCTTTTTTATTGTCATTATAGTATTACGGGGAACCCGGTAGCAGCCACATCCGTGCTCAGGCCTCCAACGAGGGAACATGCGGGAGCTGCACCCACCAGCAGGTGTCGATACCTGCTACAGCAGGTGGGCGATACCGGCCAGGGGTCAGCCGGTAGCATCAGGACCGAGCTTCTTCGATGGGCCAGTCACTGTGCCTCCCCTCCGGTCCCCTCCCCCTATGAACATCAGCAGTCTCTGCTTAATGCCACTCGGAGGGACCAACGGCATATCTCTAGGTGGCGGGCGCCAAGCTTGCCCAGGAAGGTGCATGAGGCCAATGGGGATTGAACCCAAGACCTCCTGAATGCCACTTGCATGCCTTACCAACTGAGCTAGGCCGCTGGATCTCACTGCTATTCTATAAAAACTACAGAAAAGGAAAAAACAGAAAAAAAGAAAAAAAAGAAAAAAAAGAAAGTGAGAAGCAACAACTGGAGCATGGTCCCACTAGCAACGGGAATCTGGGCGTGCTTTAGGCAGAGATACAGAAAAGGGGTTCAATCCAATCCTCTTTGCTAGTGGGACCTCGCCCCTGTCTATTTGTAATGAGCGTCAGATGATCCGAACAGATACGGCCGAAAGGCCGAGAAAGACGTTTTTTTCTGTTTATTTTTAATTTCCCTTGCCTCGTCATCTCTTCCTCCAATGCCCACGGCTGGCTATTTTTCCCAGCGTTGGCGATGTCTGAAGCGTTGTTCCTTCTCTTTTGCGCATCCGTTTCCCCTCCCCGCGCAATCGTGCTTGCTTCTTGCCTGCAGCTATGGCGGGAGAACACCGGACTTCGCGAAGGCGCACGGCCTGCGCACTGCTTGTGGCGCTTCTGTTGCTAGTGTTTGTGAGCTCGGGCGGCTATGGCGGCGGCGGGGTGAAAGCCTCGGAGGGCGTGGCGGCGGCGACAGAGACACGCCGTGCGCTCGCCGCAGCGACGCCCACCACACCTGAGGCTCGTCTGCGAGCGGCGTTGACGAGTCGCAACAAGACGGTCCTCCGACTGACATCTGACATCCTGCTCACCTCTGACCTTCCCCCCATGACCTGCCCCAATCTGACGGTCGTGGGCAACTGCAGGACACGTGACGGACGATGGAGACCATGCAAGATCGACGGCGGAAAGAAGTTCTCAGGATTCCTTTGGGCGAATCAGGACGGGGTGCCGCGCCTCGAACTCGTGAACTTCCATTTCACCAACTTTCGTCGTGACATTGCCTCCATGCCGGGGGTTATCGTGGTCCGCAACTGCCTCGTCACCAAAAGCATGGTGGATGATGGCCAGTTCGGCGCGTATGAGCTGACGATCGAACGCTCGACGTTTACTGGTAACAACGGCGTTTTGATCGGCGGCATGTATGTTAACGTGCATCTGAAGGGTGTAGTCTTTCGATCGAACACAGGAGGGCCGTTGATCTCTCTCTATCGAGGCGGCGTATCTGGCGAAAGGTGCAGGTTCGAGGCCAACAGGGGAAGGGCCGTGGAGGTGTCTAAAGGGGACGCGATGTTCTTTAGCTCTTCGTTTGTGAAGAACTCGGGTGGTGCCGTTAAATTCGGTTTTGATGGGACGGGTGTTTTCTGCCATTGTCGATTCGCGGAAAATTATGTGACATCGAGCGGAGGGAGATCGACAGTGCAACACGTGTACTTTGGCGGGATTACGGACGGGAGTGGTGGGGTGCAGTTCTGCAAGAAGCGGCCTCGAGTCGGGGTGGTCCTCGAGTCGCCAGATCTCGCTTCGTACATCAAGGACTCGTGCAACGAGTGTCCGAAATAATGAAACCATCGCCTTCTCTCTCTTCTGCCTGCGAGGGTTGTCCAAAATAAGGATACTCTCGCGTTCTCTCTTCTCTCTTTTGAAGCTTTTTTGGTTTTATAAGAGAAGGCGAACGCGTTCTTCCTCCTCTTGTTCCCCACTCCTTCAACCCTTTTGTTATGGTAATTGGTGTATAGTCCGTTTAGTCTTTTTCGTCCGAACATTCTCCTGGGGAGGGAAGCGATCACGTGGGATGTGGGGAATCAATGGGTGCTAACGTGGGGTATAAGGAAAGGAGCGGTGGTGACGTGGCATGTGAGGGATCGAGTGGTGACGTGGCATGCGAGGGATCGAGTGGTGACGTGGCATTATAGGGAGCATTAAATGTCGGATAGGTGTGGATGAAGAGGAGCAGGGTGAGCAGAGTGCGAATTCTGAGATTGTCTACTTTGACATGTTTTTTGTTGAGGCGGAAACAAGACGTGCATTGGATTTGAAATAACGGAAAAGTCGGTTTTGGATGAAAAAGCGAATCGTTATGGCTTCACGAGCGGCTGTTGCCTTGGAATCAACCACTTCTGTTTCGATTTCTGTTGTGGTACGTCTGTGTTTCTTAGCGGATAGAGCTAAACAGGTAGTAGCTCAAATGGTTCTGTTCGGGGCAAATGAGCCCGTCAGTAACGTAGCGGAAGCACTCTCCTCCCTCTTCTTATCCCTCGCATACAGCGCTACAGCGGCCTCAGCTTCTCTGTCCCCCTCTCTGTCTCTCGGACCCGTATCTGACTGCCTATGGTGTCTAACGGACCTGCCTCTCTCTCTCTCTCTCTCTCTCTCTCTCTCTCTCTCTCTCTCTCTCTCTCTCTCTCTCTCTCTCTCTCTCTCTCTCTCTGTGTGTGTGTG